GAAGATTCACATGGACATAGGGACCTTTACTAGAGAATGAGACCTTAAGATATGACCAGAGTAGGAAGCTTTCATACCTTTTAGGCAAAAAACAAAAACAAAATACCAAGAAATGTGTGAATAATTGACAAGACAAAGGAATTGGGGCTGAAAGTCATGAAAATGGTAAATAGTGAAGAAGTAACTAGGGAGATAGCTTAATAAATAAAGGTTTTTTGCAGAGTCCTCTGATGCCTTCTCTGCCTGCAAAAGGAGATTTTCCTGCCTTTGTGCAGAAAAGGGAGAGTTTTTTTCTACATTGATTGCTTCTTACCTTCAGGTCAAAATAATTTTTATGTCAGAGAGGCATATTTTGGGGTGACCTGTGCTCTCCTTCAGGGCACACTGCTTCTGGCTCTCCCAGCTCCATCCCTGGTATAGTAGTTAAGAACATCACGGTGTCTGGAAGTAGATATTTGGGGTTCAAATCCTGGTCTGCCACTTATCAGCTATGTCGCTCTAGGCAGGTAACCAAACCTTTTGATGCCTCAGTTTCCAATTCTGTAAAATGGGGATAAAATAGTGCCGTCTATGGGTTGTTGTAAAGATTTAACGAGCTAATGCTAAAGTATTTTAGTACTGTGCCTGACACATAAGGAATAAAGCACCCACTGTGTGTTTCACCTCTGTGAATCCTACCCCACATCTTGCTTGTCCCTCCTCTTCGGAGAAGCCCTCCTCCTGACTCTCAAAGCTGTAGGTGATTTCCCCCTTTCTAGGTTCTGTGGCAAATTCTGGGGTGGCAGTCACAGAATTGTATCTCAGGGAAAATCTTTTCTCCTTATTGTATTGATGGGGAAACAGTCTCACAGATAAAATGGCAGAACCAGGACTTGAACCCAGTATTTTTTAAATCTAAAATTAGTGCTGTCTCCAATGTACTACATTTATATACCTTTCTATCCCACCATGGTAGGCAGTGCATATGCTTTGGAAGAAGAATGTTAAACGTATTCATCAGGGTGATACTTGTAATTGCAAATAATGAGATATTGGTTTGAACAAAGTTCCACAGATTCCTTTGCCTTATGCCTTCCCGGAGGCTTTCATATGCTGATTTGCACCGTGAATCTGGAATAGGGAGATTTGGCATGCACGCTTTCACATTTCATATATTTACTCAGTTTCATATATTTGTTTGTCCTTAGACCCTTTTCCGGCAGGATTCTCGTTAGCCTCTCACAACCAGTGCGTCACGGAACATGGTTTGGGGAACGCAGCTCTGTTCTCCAGAGCCCCACCCCCATCCCACCCCCATCCCCAGGTCTTGTCAGCTCAGTGAAGTCTACCTTCACTTCCGCCAGGGCGCTGCCAGCAGGCTGGGTCTGAGGCCCCCAGGGTTGGTCCCACAGGACCAGGCCAGAGGGTCCTTGGCTTCAGGCTGAGAGCCAGCCAGAGACAACAACCGGTTTTACTGAAGATGCAGAGAGCAGATAGAGATGGCCCATCCCCGAGAGTCGGAAAGAGAAGGGGCATGAGTCTTGTCTTTCTCTGGGGTCTGGGGGTTTCTTATGGAGGACAATGGTCTGGTGCATGTGTCTTCTCAGGCATCCAGGCATCAGTGAGAACAATGATGAGGACCCAGAAGTTACTCCTTGGAGCCGGTGGAGGGGGGAGGCGGGCCTTGGCATCGAGATGTCTAGCACCGTGTTCCGGAATACGCATGTGATGGCTTCCTCGGTCCCCGGGTCCTTCTTTGGATGTTATCTATTCTAGGGAAATCATTAACTCCTTGTATCACAAGGAGGACATAGGCTATTTGCATTACGAGACGTGTGTAGAGTAGGGTAGGGATTTAGGTCTTGGCAAGACTAGAAGCCCTAAAAGAAGCAAAGGAAAACCCCAGCTTTTCCCTCTCATTTCCCTTCTGTTTCCCTGCCTCATCGCACGACAGCGGCCGTGCTAGTGACGGACCTTCTGAGACCCGGTCCTGCGGATTCTCTCCAGTGACCCCCTTGCTTTGATCTCGGCGGCATCTGACTCTGCTCTGTCTAGGGAGCCTCTGGCATGTCACATTCACATTGGGGTTTGCAGAGCTCGTGCTGAGGCAAGAAGGTTCTCGGGGACGCTGGCTTGGGGAGGGTGCCGGCAGTCGCTGGAGGTGGAGGTCAAGTTGTGACTTGCAGATTCGTAGAGCTGCCTTGGGCAAGCGGTACGTGCTGCACACCCACAGGTTAATGAGGTTTGATCTGAAGGAACGTGACTTGGGTCTGACTTCTCAGGCCTTTGGATGTCCGCTGGCCTTGGTCACTGTTGCTGAGCAAGTAGTCAGTGGGGACAGCGTGGGGGAAAGTCCCCCTGAGACGTACCAGCTGGCAGCTACGGAAGGGTGCGGCAGTTCTGGGCCTGGGGATGCAGAGGAGAGGACCGTACTGGGGGCCTGCTCTAAGGGCTTTGCAGCCATCAACTCGATTCGACCTCACGACAGCCTCATGCCACCAGCCCAGGACATTCACGCGCAGTGTCCTTACTTGCTCAAGATCACGCATCTGGGAAGCGGCGGGCAGTGCCGGGATTTGACCGGAAAAGCCACGCTGTTGACCACTTTGCCTCACAAGCTCTCCAGGCGTCTGAGGAGGTTGGAAAGCAAAAGCAGACTAGGAAGAAGCCCTAGGACAGAAGGCAGGATGCGCCCCGGAGGCCATGGCGGCTCTGCCGATAGCGGGTACCTGCTCTCCGCTCCGGTTCTCTGGGCCTCCTTACCTCTCCCTGACTGGTGGGAAAGTGCCCTGGGGCCTTGGCTATGACTGGCTCCCAGCGGGGCCCTGCCCGGGGCTCCTCCAGGCCCCTGCGCACCCCAGGGAGAGGCCTGTGGGTCAGAGAAGGAAGCAGAAGGGCAGCCTGCGGCGCACGCCTTCTAGAACACAAAAGCAGGAGACCAAACTGAGCCAGCAGCCCCAGACCGAGATACTAGCGGGCCTGGCCCCACTGCTGTAGTCAAGACCTGCAGGCCCCCTGGGCGCCCCTGCACAGAGGCTTCCACCCTGAGTGCCCCAAATGGCTCGACAAGTCAGAGTTTCTAACAACCGCGAGCTTGGCCTCTGTCCCGTGCAGGCCCTGCCTCATCCATCTCTCAGAAATGTTTGAGGAGGGGACTGATGCTGGGGCTTTTCAGTCCTAAGTTCTCTGGGTTGCTATTTCCTCACTCCCTTAAAACACAAAGGGCTCGTGTCCCCGTGTCCCCATGTCCCCGGTGAGGAAGGTGAGGGCACGTCCTGGGGGCATCTTAGGAAGAAGCCTGAGGGCTGCATGGGCAGAGGGCCGGGTGGCTGAAGGGGAGAGAGGAGGAAGGGCTTAAATCCCGGGCCTGGAGGCTCAAGACGGAGAATGGCACCCGAGAGCTGTTCCATCGTGAGAACTGGCCCCGGGAGCCTGGATGCTATCACCTCCTCCCAGGCGTGGGCAGAGAGGGGACCAGAGATGCCTGGCCAGCCCAGCGGGCGGAGCCTGGAGGGCCTGTCTCTGCCACCTCGGACCAGCTCTGCTGTCCTGTTCCCGGGCGAGTGGGGGCAGGGCGCGCAGCCACCCGTGGCCTGGGCGAGGGGAGTCGTGACTCAATCCTCCTTCGGGGATCCCCTTGCACCATTCCCTTGGATCCGAGTCACCCCTACCCGTATCTCTGCCTCTTCCTCTTGCTGGCACTGCTGCCCCGCACCCCCCTCCTAATCAAACTTCCCGGAGGGCTGCTTTTCTCTGCTTTTCTCTGCGGCTGGAAAGCTCTTCGTGTGATTAAAGTAATTCCCACTAAAGTAAGTCATTCTTTTCTGAATGACCCATAGGCTTGATCCTTCCAGAGTGCATTTGCATTTCAACTGGAGTTTGCACAAGCAGAATTAAGCATTAATTAGTAGAATGAGGGAGCAATTATTGGGGGAATGGACTTTCCCAGGCCCTTCCCTGCCCTCCCCTGCTCTCCTTCCCCCCCTGCCCCCCCGGGGGTGAGGGGTGCCAGGAAGGAGAGATCCTTGCAGCCAGAGGAAGGTTGAACAGCATCGGTTCCCAGACGGTTCCATTTCCTTTGTCCGTTGAAAACTTTGTGTGATCCTGAAAGAGTCAACTTTTCATTTTCCCAAGGTTTGTTCGATTTGCTGATTTCCTAGCACCATCATTTCACAGCAGCAGAAGACAAAGGAAGAGGTCACGTCAGACAGTCGTCTAAACGGAATAGATTCGGCTTTCTACAGATGTACCACGTTGTTCTTAGTCTCTCGTTTTGCTGCACACTGGTGACCGCTTCCCGGGTGGGGGGCTGGCAAGCGGGACCTCCGCCTGGCTGGCCCCTGAGTCCCCGCCCCACCCGGAAGCACTGTGGTTTTCAAACACTGCCACACACCGCATTAAAGATGCATTTTCAAATGTTAATAATTAATGGTAATGTTAATTTATCATAGTTTCATCTAACCTTCTGTAATGGAAATGGCCCCAGGGGACAGGACGTAGAGGAGACTGAGGAGCAGAGAATAAAAGAAGTAGGGAGTCAGTGAGGGTCCCTGGGAGGAACGAGCACTCCTGCAAGCTGTTTCTGCCACTGAGACAGAGAGAGATTGAGACAGAGAGAGAGACTGAGACAGAGAAAGTGTCCACGTGCGCACGGCCGCCTGCATACAGGGAGCCAGGGAAATCTGTAGGGTTGCACCTGACCTTGGGAAAGCTCCCACCCCCTCAAAATGGTTCTCCGTGGCCTGGCTTCGTGACAAGTGCTGGTGTCCTGGCATCACGCCCGCATATGCCACTGCCCTTGACCCCCAAGCAAAAGACATGAAGCAGAAAGGGCAAAGGTTTGGAATGTGTGCAAGTCAGGGGAGACCCGCTCCAGGGCCCCTGGCACTCCAGGGGAGGGACCTTTTTGTGCCCCCCCCACCCGCGTCTGGCTTCTTACAAGTCACCTTGGCCTGGTTCCCAGGCCCCCTCAGCCTACCCAGGAGGCCCCCACTCACGGGTTTCTCTTGTTGCCATTGCAGGTGTGTGTGGCTGCTGCGGCGCTCTACGCCCCAGGTACAAGAGGCTGGTTGACAACATCTTCCCTGAGGATCCCGAGGTGGGTTTCACTTCCGCCCGACTTCACCTCCCACCAGCTCAGCCCATCTAGGGCTGCGAGGGGGAGGCGATCTCCCAGCCCCTTGCCACTGGGTCCGCTCAGACCCTGGTCAGTGGGCAGGGGCGGTGGGGGGGAGGGGGGACCTGTCTGCAGGGAAGATCTGAATCTTTCTGAGACATCTTTCCCGCCCATGTCTCTCGGAGCAATGGTTCCTTAAACCGCTAACTCCCTTGATGCTACAATTTCCCTGCCGTTTTGTGTGAGTACTTCCGTTCTCGGGTTTTGGCTCAGGAGGCTGTGTTACCTCTGTGGTTCCCTCTGGCACCTGTCAGGTGGTCTGGGTGGAAGTACGCCAGGGGGGCCTGGCCTGGTGGCTTCTAAGCCACCACTCCCCCCTCAGGCTGCATTATGGGTTGTGTGGTTTTAGAAATGTCAGGATCTGATATTCTTGACTTGCTCTCTGGAAATCAATGACAGCTTCTTGACAGACAGTTGAAGGGTCACATTTCCAGCGTCCTCTGGTGAATAGAGGGGCTAAGCTGCCCCTCTTCCTAGTCATGTCTTAGTGCTGGATATCAGCATATTTTTATTCTGAGTTGCTCCCAGTGAAGCCTTGTTATTCACACACACACACACACACACACACGTATACACACCTATACACATGTGTGTATTTATACATTCGTGTGTGTATATATATATATACACACATGCATACACATATATACACACACGTGCACTTATACCACTATTTTCGTTTATAGTTGGCATACTTTGGGCTAAGTTGTGAGTTCCTGGAAGGCAGGAACCTTGCCTTCATCATCTCTGTATCCCTGAAACCCACATGATGGGTTTGTCACACACATAGTGGCCTTCTATGATTAAATTGATGATTATTAACATCATTGATGTCGATGATTAAATTGACGCATTATTTACTTTGAGACTTGAACCCTTCTAGCCATGGAATGGCCACAGTGAGACATGATCGCCTAACTCTTGCAGGATGGCTTGGTGAAGACCAACATGGAGAAGCTGACCTTCTACGCCCTTTCGGCTCCAGAAAAACTGGACCGAATTGGTGCCTACCTCTCCGAGAGGCTCATCCGCGATGTGGGTCGTCATCGATACGGGTAAGACATGGGAGAAAGTGAGACAGATACTTTCAGAAATGCTACTATATTTTTAAGGCAAAACACAGGGTCCTTTTATGGAAATGAAGGACCAGTCTATAATGTAGACAGGGCGATTGAACAGACTGAGAGAAAGGGGCCTGGGGCTGAGGGATGGGCTGCATGGGTTCTCCCAACAGCAGGGAAAAATTTGATGCTGTTGCCAAGATGCGGGAGGAAGGGGATGTTGGCTTCCCAGGAGCACCTCTTTTAGTGCCCACGTACCCCGTGGGTGTCCATCCAGAAGCCCTCACTCAGTCTGGGGCCTTGAAAAGTTAGTCTAGTCCAGAATGTGCTGTTATCCTCACCCAACCAATTAACCTACTGTCTTAAAAACCATCTACATTCTAATGAGAAGGCAAGGTTAGAGGCAATCTGTCCATTAAAAATATACTCAAATGAAATATTTATCAATCTTCCGAGAGGGAAAGACTTGCTATGTTTAGAAGAGAAAAGAAATCTTAAATGCAAATGATCAATAGATTTAACTGTTTAAAAATTTAAGTATTTTGACGTCAACAAAGAAACCATCAAAATGTAAAAGACAAATGGCAAAAAGAAGTGTTTTGAAAGAATGGGGCGCCTGGGTGGCTTAGTCGGTTAAGCGTCCGACTTTCGCTTAGGTCATGATCTCGCGGTTCTTGGGTTCGAGCCCCGCGTCGGGCTCTGTGCTGACTGCCAGCTCGGAGCCTGGAGCCTGTTTCAGTCTGTGACTCCCTCTCTCTCTGACCCTCCCCTGCTCGCGCTGTCTCTCTCTCTCTCTCCTAGAAATAAATAAAACATTAAAAAAAATTTAAAAAAAAAGAAGTGTTTTGAAAGAATAAGGCAAAGGATTCAAACTCATAATATTAGCAGCATATAACAGGAGGTGGGGAAGCTGAGATGCTCAAAAATGTGAGGTAAGGGCCCCCAAAACCAACCCACAGAAGAGGAAATAGGAATAATAATATTCAGTAAATTTATAATCAAAGATGTGCCTTGAAATACTAAGATACTATCTTCACTTACAAACTGACAAAATAAACATTTCCAATATTAACCAAGGAATGGCAACATGAGAGGCAGTTTCATACTTTTCTAGAATGAGTATGAATTGATTGAACCTCTTTAGAAGGTAATTTTGAAATATAGGTCAGATCTTCAAGAACATTTATGCCCTTCGATCTAGTAAATTCCTTTTCTATTCATCTACCCCAAGAAATCGATCTTAAGTTATAAACTAGCTTTACACAGAGAGATATTCATTAGGGTGTTTTTTACAAGCAGGAAATCATGGAAATTAAGGTCCGATAAGAGAAAAATAGTTAAGTAAATTACTATGTTTATCATTTGGTGAAATATTATCTATTCAACAAAAATGGTGTTTATAAACACATTTTCCATATAATAATGAAAATGCCATAAGTAAATGAACAATAGAATACATAATTATGTATACAGTGCTTTACAACCATGTTAAAGAATAAACAAAAACAGGGGCACCTGGGTGGCTCAGTTGGTTAAGCATCTGACTTTGACTCAGGTCATGATCTCACAGTTTGTGAGTTCGAGCCCTGCATCGGGTTCTGTGCTGACAGCTCAGAGCCTGGAGCCTGCTTTGGATTTTGTGTCTCCTCTCTCTGCTCCTCCCACACTTGTGCTCTGTCTCTTTCTCTCAAAAAAAAAAAAAAGTAAAAAAATTAAAAAAAAGTATAAACAAAAACAAATCTCAATGCCTATAAAATATAGTAAAAACAAATATGCCATAAATTTTTGAGCAGTGTGGCTGTGTGTGTGTGTGTGTGTGTGTGTGTGTGTGCACGCGCGCACTTTGTTTTGTTTTCTATCCTTTTTTTGTGTGTTTCCTAAATATCCTCTATGTGTTACTTTCCAATGAAAAAAGTGATCAGAGGACCTGCCCCTCTCCCCGACCCTGGCCACACACCACAGTTTGGAGCAAAGCTGCATGTAGGAGAACCTAAAGATGTCCCTGGGCACAGGGCAAAGGATGAAGTTGATCCATGGGGCGCCTGGGTGGCTCAGTCGGTTAAGCATCTGACTTTGGCTCAGGTCATGATCTCATGGTCTGTGGGTTCGAGCCCCGCGTCGGGCTCTGTGCTGACAGCTCAGAGCCTGGAGCCTGCTTCAGATTCTGTGTCTCCCTCTCTCTCTGCCCCTCCCCCTCCTCTCAAAAATAAACAGACGTTAAAAAAAAAGGATAGAGTAGATCCAGGGCAGGGTTCACAGGTTCCTTGTGGAGCCTCTGTTCTCCACAAAGCCCATCCTGTACTTTCCTCTGCTCCTACTTCTCTCCTGTTGCAGATTCCAGATTGTGGCAGCGTTAGAAATCGTCTCCCTGCCCCATCCTTCCTGCTCTGGTCCTTCCAGTCGAGGACCGCTAGCTCTGATCTACAAATCACAGACCCGAAACTATCCTTTCCTGGCTCCTTTAGAATAAAATCCAAGCTCCTCAGCTTGACTGCCGGGGGGCTTCTAAGCCTGCCCCTAGCTCGCCGCTCCGCTCGCCCTGCCCCGCTCCACGCCGACTGGCTGACACTCGCGCCGGCTCTCTGGGCCGCAAGCCTCTGAATGCAGCGCCCTCTCCCCTCAACCCCTGTCATGGGCCCCCACCGCTACCCACCAGCCTTGCCATCTTCCAAGGCCCCTTCTTCCTGGTGGAGCCGGAACCAAAACTGGAGTAGAAAGGTTTACGTGGTGCTGATAGGGTGTAGACATCCAACCTTTGCAGGACCCACCAGCAAATCTGAACTCACGCTATCCCGAGGATAAAAGCAAGTCCAACAACAGTACATTTCTATCATCATTTTATAAAATAAAAGTAGGCTACATCCTCAATAAAAAGGGCACGAATACACTGTACATGCTGATTATATAAATCGCCTTGACATGTTATAAAGCACGCTCAGGTAAGAAAAAATGACTTTCTCCTAGATTGACTCTGAAGCTAATATGCTAGCAATAACATTAAACATTTAATACTAATTTTATCTGCCCTGTCTGCAGTGGTGGTTCTTTCGGTAAAAATGTAGCCCGCACAAGCCACTTAGAATCATTCCACTGCCCTTAGAACTACAGTTCAAAATTGGTATCGTTCTGTTAAAATAGGCATTGCAACATCTAAGTAAAGCCTTGAATGCCTCACTGGAAGCTTTAATCATAAACATTTGAGGAAGAAAAATCTGTTGGGGCTGATCTCCTATTCTCTCTCCTGGCCCGCCTGTCTTTCCCTACCCAATACCACACTTATCATTATTATCTTCCTTGTCATTAGCATCTTCCTGATGGCAGCTTTGGAAGAGCAAAATCTTCGCACACAGACAGTCTGAGGGGTTGTGTCTCCCTGTCATCAGGCAGGCGTCTGTATTTACTGTTTGATTCTACAGACGTGAATCTTGGGTGTTCGACCTGGTCCTACAACCTTCCTCTTCCATCCCATGGCTTCCCCGCTTTATCACCCACTCCAGTTGTGTGTGATCGCTGCCTTAATATGTGTCCAGCATCAGGGGTGACAACCAAATGTGGGCAGAGAGGGGATAAGGTGTGAATTCCAAGGTGCCGTTCATTGATGTGAACGATGATGGGCAGAGATGTGCAGAGCATGAAAAGTGAGGATCCCTTGTGTTTGTTTCCTTCTTCATTGTGCATGTCCCTTCCCATTCAGCTCTAGTGCTAGAATTCCCCTAGACACTGGAGATCAAGGCGGGTGATGACAGTGCTTCCTGAGACTTGGGGTCAGGTGACAGTGACCACGGAGCTCTGACCACGTACAGAGTGCTGTGTTGGATTCTGTCAGGTTCTCCGGTGCCTGGAGCCCTGGAAGGTGGCGATGGCCATGTCAAAGAGATTCGAGCTACTGCCCGAGGAGCTTGGCCCCGGAGCTGGTCTGGTGGGACCCCTAAGAGATGCACATTTCCCAGAAGGACCTTCAATGTGGTTGGAGGTCAGGGCTGAGCCCTCAGGCAGAGACACTGCAGAGTCCTACTGCATGAGGAGGTGCATCTTCCCTCCCTCAGCTGAGCTCAGCCCCTGCTTTTGAGTTCCTAAAACCCAGAAGTTTCTTTCCAGGACTGGGGCTGAGCAAGCACCTTCCAGCTGTCTAGAATAAGAGGTTCTTGGTCAAGGCGACTGCTCTTTGAGTGATTCTTGGACAATGACTGGTTCTGCTAAAGCTGTCCGCTCTCTCCTGCCTGTGGTCTTCATCTCTGACCTTGCATCTGCCTTTCCTCTCGAACCACACCTGGTTCCCAGGGATAGGTACCTGCTCCTTCTTGCTTGAGCATAGAGTGTTCATGCAGAACCAGCTGCCCCTTCTGGAATTCAATAAGAGATACTTCTTGCCTCGTTCTCTGGATGTTTTCCTCTGATGGTATAACTCGCCTCCTGCCGTGGCCCTTGCCATAGAACTCCTGCTGTTATAACCCCCAAGTGTCCTCTCCTGGTGTCGGTTGCTGCCCCTGAGCCCAATTCTATCCCCGACTCCTTGCGCTCTGCCTTCCTTACCCATTGGGAAGCCCTCCTAGTACATCCGGGACGCTTGCTTATCACCCACGGCTGTTGTGTGTACCTCGGGCTCCTGCAGCGAGGTCCTCACCAGCACCTTCCTGCCTCGTCCTGCGCCCAGTACTCAGACCAGTTCACTTTCCCAGACCTATTATTACACTGGATTCCTTCCAGGACACCAAGTCCAGATCACCCAGCCTATCTGGCCCTGGTCCTGTTGAGAAGACATCACCCTGAGAAGCCCCACACTCTATTCTCTCGGAGAGGATAGGCCCAGCCCCAGGACATACCTCAGAAGGTTATGGTAAGCCAGGACCAAAGCAGAGAGCCTTTGACTAGGAGGTTCCAAGGTCCCTTTGACTTCTAATCTTCTAAGATGCTTTGAAAAGTTCAAGTTCATAGTTATAATCCTTCCATCCTTAGTATGGGAACAAAGAATGGTGTATTCAAGGAACTGGGCCTTCACCTTCTTGACTTTTCAGTTTCTCTTCTACCATAATTTCCAGTTTTCATCAAAATCTCTACTCCTGGTTAGTAGCCAATTTTTTTTTAGTTTTTATTTTTTTATCCATTCATTTATTCGTTTTGCTAGCAAAGGATGGCTTTTTCCTTTTTAGGATTTTCTGGGAATTTTTTTACAGGAAAAGGAAAAACAGCAATCTAAGCTCTGGAATTTGGGAAGCCTTCTAGTTTCTTCTCCTGCCAACCCCCACTCCACCCCTTCCTTTCCCTCAGTTGAACTCTGTGAACTAATGGTGAAGCCTTTCCTACATAGGATGCTGGGATGATTCATAGGAGAAAAGAATTCTACTCTGCTTGCCCCCGTTTCCCACCCACCATGTTTGGTTGCTTGAATGTGGCTGGGTTTGTCTGCAAGGATAGCCTATCTCTTTTGGAAGGACCCCGGCCAGGCTGCTTCGCTGACCAGCACAGCTGACCTAAAACATGCCGGGACTGTCTGCAAGAAATGGCAGCTTTCCTGGACTGTGACAATGTTAGCTAGCCCCTGAGGAGCCTGGACTGGCCAGCACCAGCCCCGCCCAGCAGGAAATGGTGCCTGGTTTACCCGAAGAAGCTCAAAGACCCAATGCTGGCTTTGTATTTGAAAGACATGCTGTAAATAAGAGCATGGCCTGATCCATTTGTAAACATGCCCAGAGATAACTATGTAATAGCATTTAATGATATTAAATAGTAATTTAATAAGAGTGGACTCAATTCACCTAACATTTTTAAAGAGTGGCCAGGATAATGTCAGAGAGACTGTTTTTCTTATGATTGCTCAATATACAAGTAAGCTCAAAGGTGCCTACGAAATGGTATCCAATGTCTTTAGAAAAAAAAATTAGGAGACACCATGACTGCTTGCTGTTACTTTATATGTTTGGATTTGCAAAGCTGGCTCACGTGCAAGGCAGTTTGGACACACAATGTCTGAAACTGAATGACAGCCGTGAGAAGCACTGTGCACCTTGTGTCCTGGCCTCATCGCACCTCCAGAATTCACCTCTCGTCATGCTTCCTGTGCTTTCTTTTTATTTAACCATCCTTTGTTTTAAAAAGACAAATAGGGGAAAGGAAGGAAAAATAAGAATAAAAACAGAGAGCAAGGCAAACCATAAGAGACTTTTTTTCATATTTTTTAATGTTTTTTATTTATTTTCATGAGAGAGAGACAGAGACAGAGAGACAGAGTACAAACATGGAAGGGGCAGAGAGAGAGGGAGACACAGAATCTGAAGCAGGCTCCAGGCTCTGAGCTGTCAGCACAGAGCCCGACGTGAAGCTTGAACCTACAAACTGTGAGATCATAACCTGAGCCGAAGACAGATGCCCAACCAACTGCGCCACCGAGGCCCCCCTTTTAGCCATGGGGGCTGACCTAGCAGCAGAAAAGGCTGGGAGGTCATCCAGATGAGCACCACAAGCCTAGTTAAAATTCTAAATAACTAGGGAAAAAGAAGGGAAAGAGATTCCAGGGAAAACTCATAACGTTCTGCCTCAGAAACCTAACTCCCTAAAGAAAACTACAAAGATTTTAACTAGAATAATTTTGGATAGATTTGCAGCAGCTTCCTCAATAGAATTTAAATGATAACCTTTTCCAATAAATGCCTACGCTGTTTTCTTTAGTATGTGAGGGCCTGTAAGAGGGGCGCACACCCTTCAGGTTGTGTCTTACTCGACCATAGGCTCCTGTTGCCACTGTTAACAAATGTGGGGTTTGAGCTCAGATGTGCCCTCCTAATCCTCAACAGGAATTTGACTTGTGGCATTTTTCTGGGGATTCAAGAGAGGGGTTGAAGAAGACAACCACCAAGATAATCAGGGGCTGTCCTGTGAAGACTAGTTTGGGGAGGACTGGGTATTTTGAGCATAGAGAAGATCAAGAAACAGGAGATTGCTGTATTCGGGTGATTGAAGGGCTTAGCCCTCTTTTTTAACTGCTCCCGAAAGTAGAATTATAAATAAAAGATAAAGGTATTAAAGTTTAGCTTAAAATATAAAGAAATCTTAATTTAGTTGTCAAGAAAACCCGGGATGGGCTGACTTACCTCGTATGCCCATTCATCATTGGATGCTGCGTATTTCTGGTTTCTGGAGATATTCACGCAGGCTTTAGACTTTAGAAGAATTAAGTAGTTAGGGCCTTAGAGTTGGCAAAGAACATCATCTTCATTAGGTACAGTACGTATTACCTAAATATGGTAATATCATCAACCATATTGTGTGATGACCTTAGGCTTCTGAGGTCTTCAAACATGATACCTACAGGTGTTATATTCCCTAACCTTTGCAGTTGACTGGCCCTCAGGCCCATCTCAGACTCTTCATAAACGTTCTTCCGAAAGTTCTCTTCCTCCCACTAGAACCATCTCTTCCCCTCTTTGGAACCCTTGCGAGATGTCCTGCATGATTTTCTTGTAGTGTTTCTTCTTTTCCTTTTAGAGGAGATATCAGTGTGTTTATCTTGTCCACCCAACTCCAGGCACCATAAGTTGAAGGACTTCTTCCTCCTTACATCCCTGTGCTGACTAAGACAGAGCTTTTCCCTGTGGGTGTTCAGCAAACACTTCCTGACCTTGGATCAAGTGATCCTCTGATCTCACTGGGCTTGGGTTCAGAAGTTGCCCTTCTGAGCATCGCTCCTTTCTGCTTGTATCTACTCCTGAACTGGTACACATCATCTGTCCTCATGTTCTTCATCCGTAGAAGGAGGGGTTGGGGGAGCTGGTCTCTGGGCTCCCTTCCGGCTCTGGTCCCTTCTGACTCTTGTGTCAGACTGGAGTGGGCACTGGGCGGAATGGCTGTGCAAATGTTGGCAGCCTATGGAAAAGCCTCATTACCCAGAGGCTGTCCAGGTGGAATGGGCATGAGGCCGAGTGACGGTGTGGCTTTCCCCAGGTACGTGTGCATCGCCATGGAGGCCCTGGACCAGCTGCTCATGGCCTGCCACTGTCAGAGCATCAACCTCTTCGTGGAGAGCTTCCTTAAGATGGTGGCCAAGCTGCTAGAGTCGGAGAAGCCTAACCTGCAGATCCTTGGCACCAACTCGGTAAGGAGCTTCCCCGGGGGCCCTGCAGTGGGGAGTGGGGGGCACACCGGTGGGGCACGGAGGATGTCTGGGTCAGCATTGTTATCAGCCATTCCTGTTTGGTTTTCGACTCTAAGTACAACTCACCTCTTAGTGTCTCTCCCTCTTTGTGTGAATAAAGGGGTATTTGTGGTTTTTTAAATTTAAAGAAATATTTAGGAAATAAAATAAATTTGGGGCGCCTGGGTGGCTTAGTCAGTTGAGCGTCCGACTTTCGCTTAGGTCATGATCTTGCGGTTCGTGGGTTCGAGCCCTGCGTCGGGGTCTGTGCTGACTGCTGGCTCAGAGCCTGGAGTCTTTTTCGGAGTCTGTGTCTCCCTCTCTCTCTGGCCCTCCCCTGCTCATGCTGTCTCTCTCTCTCTCTTTCTCCTAGAAATAAATAAAAATTAAAAAAAGAAATAAAATAAATTTTAAAAATAAAAATCACCATAGCCAAGCATAGGATTCAATGGATTTTAATATGTTCACAAGGTTTTGCAACTACCACCACTATCTACTATATTTATCTTTAGATCCGTGATCGTCAAGCTTTTTTTTCATAATAGATTTTTCCCTTAAATAATTTTAAGTGGAGCCCCAGTGGATATAAAAACAGATGGAAAGGGAGCCATTCCTTTGAGGGCAAGGGGCGCCCTGTGCTTGGCCCCTGACTCCACAGGGCATACTTTGAAAGCTGTCCAGCCTGTGCTTCTTTCAAAGAAGCATAGGACAGAGGCTCAGGCAAGTGGAAAGATCGTGCCGAAGCAGGAAACAGGGCTTCTGGCTCGGTTCTGCCCTTACCTAGCTGGGTAACTTTGAATGGGTTATCTTTTATGGACCTGTCTTCTCATCCAGACCATGAGCTGATTGACCTTGGTCCAAGCTCTATGATGCTGGTCTCCGTACAAATGGCTGCTATCATGAGAGGTTATGGTCTGGGGAGAGAAGGGCTATTAGATGCGTCAAGAACTCCCTGCTTCATATTTATCTATATATGCTTGAATACTCTGATGGCCTTCTTCCATGTCTAGCCCTCCATCTTCCTCTTCCACCTACTTTCAGCTGTGGGTCTACAGTCAGCCCTCATAGGCACCTGCTATCACAAAGAAAAAGATAAAGGTTTGCCTCTTAGCATTCCCAGCCTGACTTTTCTGACTTTTTATTGCATGGATCACAACAGCTTTCCTGCTCTTCCTAAGTTGACTTAACCAGAAGAAGATAGTCTTTAAATTTTAATTTTAAGGACCCAAAGTAGCAACTACTCCCTTCTCTTTGAGCTAGCTGCCTTTGACAAATTACATATACAGTAGCTGAGGGTGAAGCCTTTTGTCAAGTTACCCTGGCAACAGCTTCAGATACTGTTTCATTTTCCCTGTTTAAGATAACTATAGTCTCACAGAGAACATCTGAATGGAAAATAAACCAGTCATCAGGCATCCAGAGGGCCTCTCCCCATGGGGGACACGGAAGCAGGTGGCTGCCCACGCTACCTTTCCCCACTGCAAACCCTGGCCCGGGGTAGGTGATTTATTAGCTCCAGCCTTGTAAATGCTTAGATCCCATCACAGCACGTCAGCGCATCAGCAGTAGAGGAGAGTGAGCTAATGATTCCTGTCCTGCAGACTATGAAGGTTATATAAGGACAGGCAATCATGAGTGAGTTAAGTCAAGTAATGGTAGTAGATTCAGAGGCAGCATTGGCTAGTGCCGTCCCTCACTCACATGCTCTTTCTAGCTCTCAAAGCCTGGGGACCCCCGTGAGCCTCCCCAAGAACAGTGTGCTTTTGCTCCTCATCATCTTAGAACCGCCAGCATGCTAGCACTCAATGTAGTCCTAATGAGTCTAGCCTAGGACTTTCAGCTGGTTTTCACGGGGGTTTGAGGCCTCGTGGGGGCAAAGGAAGACCGGGAAGGAGGACAGAGGGATCCTATATGGAAGTTCGCAACGTTGCATTTGGGTACAGAGTTTTGCTGCTAGGAAATTGACAGAAAGATGCGGAAGGAGGGGGAAGGAGAACATATGAGGAAAGGAGAAGAAGGGAAAAAACCCTGAGCTCATCTAAAAGCCTCATTTTGGAGAGTGCTGCTATGAACATTGGGGTACATGTGCTCCTATGCCTCAGCATTTCTGTATCCCTTGGATAAATTCCTAGCAGTGCTATTGCTGGGTCATAGTTTAGTTCTATTGTTATTTTTTTGAGGAACCTCCACACTGTTTTCCAGAGGGGCTGCACCAGTTTACATTCCCACCAACAGTGTAGGAGGGTGCCCGTTTCTCCACATCCTCGCCAGCATCTAGAGTTCTCTGATTTGCTCATTTTAGCCACTCTGACTGGCGTGAGGTGGTATCTCAGTGTGGTTTTGATGGATGTAGGGGGGAGGGGGGGATGGGCATAGAGGAGGACACTTATGGGGATGAGCACTGAGTATTATGTGGAAACTAATGTGACAATAAACTATTTGTAAAAAAAAAAATAATAATAAATAAAAAAAAAAATAAAAGCCTCATTTTGCTGGATTTCTCTGCTTGGAAACAGAAACCCAAAAAATCAGATAGCTTGTCTGCTCGCACCGCTGAAGACCTGGCTTTAGATGGTGATTCGTTTAGCCCCGTGCCATGTTATGTCCCTAGAGTGCTCCCCTGTCCCTAGAGCTCGGCTGTGCCTCCAGCCTCCCTGTGGCCAGGCCTCCCTGACAGGTGGCCCACTGCCTTGTGGGTGAGAAGTTGAGAGAAACCTTCACCCTGAGCCAGCTCTGCCTTCCTATACCTTTTCCCTCAGAAGTGGCTTTGCTGCCTGAATCCACTCAACAGACCTCCCCCTTCTGCAGAGCATCTTTTCGGAAACCCTGGATCCTTCAAGGACCCGAATCCGGCCAATGACAGAGTCTCCTGCAGAGCTTTGGAAACCTACAGATTCCCAGGTTTCAGTCAGACTCACTGATTGGCGTCTCTGGAGGGTCCCCTGGGAATCTACATGTTTCTGCCTCCCATCTGATGCTAGCAGTGGATTTGGGGACAGCTGATGTATTGTAGTCTTCGACCTATACAGGGTTTCTCTCTTCCCCCCTCCCTCCCTTTCTTCATCCCTGATAGATGTTCATCCAGCTTGTACTTGATCACCACAAGGATGACCTTAGTTTGAAACCTGTCACAAAATCCAAATTTGCTAATATCACTCCTGCACATTGTATGCAGTAACATGTAATTTTTAAAAAAAAAATCTACCCTAAATGAGAGTAGCTGAGTTTTGGAGGATGATAAGTGACCAAGGAAGTCTGGAGAAGATGGGGAGCCAGGGCCACTAGGCTCGCTTTACTTGTTTGGGGATTTGCATTTGTGCCCCTGCCTCATTGCCCGATGGGTCTAAATGTGTGTCTCAGGGACAGTGCGGTGAGCATGTGTCCTGACCTTTTAAGATCACTCACTAACGGTGGGGCACCTGGGTGGCTCGGTTGGTTAAGCGTCTGACTTTTGGTTTTGGCCTAGGTCATGCATGATCTCACGGTTCTTGAGTTTGAGATGCACGTCTGGCCCCCTGCTATCAGTGCAGAGGCTGCTTCAGGTCCTCTGTCCCCCTCACTCTCTGCCCCCCCAAAACAAAATAAACATTAAAAGAAAGCTTACTCACGAATGATAAATTGAAAATGTTAAATCTAGAAATGCCAAGTTCCCCTACATAACCGATCTGATGTATTAGCCTGATGTATACAAATGGTAAACTCTTATGAAGATTAATGGATTACAGTTTGCACTTTCATCCCTGCCTCACAATATATACAAAAGTTAACTCAAAATAGACCAAAGACCTAAAAGTAAGAGCTGAAACTATAGAACTCTTAAAAGAAATTAGAGTAGAGGATTATGTGTTCATGATTTTGGATTTGGCAATGGATTCTTAGGTACAACATAAAAAGCAGAAACAACAAAAGAAAAAATAGACAAATGGATTTCATCAAATTAAAAACTTTTGTGTGTTCAAGGACACTACCCAGGAAGTGAAAAGACAACCACAGAACAGGAGAAAATATTTATAAATCATATATCTGATGAGGGTCCAGCAACCAGAATGTATGAAAAATACTTACAACTCAGCAACAGAAAGACAACCCAATTAAAAAATGGTTAAAGGACTTGAAGAGACATTTCTCCAAAGATATACAAGTGACCAAGAAGCACATTAAAAGATGCTCAACATCACAAATCATTAGGGAAATACAAGTCAAAACTACAATGAGATTCCACCTCACACCGATAGGATGGCTATTAAAAAAAAACAAACCTCTAAGTGACAAGTGTTGGCAAGAACGTGTAGAAATTGAAACCCTCATATGTTGCTAGTGGAAATGTAAAGTGGTATAGACACTGTGGAAAACAGTTTAGTGGTTCTTTAGAAAGTTAAGCATATAGAATTACCATATGACTTAGCAATTCTTCCTAAGTCTATACCCCAAAGGATTGAAAACAGATACAAAGACAAATACTTGTAGACAAATGTTCACAAAAACACTATTCACAATAGCCAAAAGATGGAAACAACCCAAAAGATCACATAGTGTGTGATGTACATGAGCTGTCCAGTCTAGGTAAATGCATAGATACAGAAAGTAGAATTAGTGGCTGCCCAGGGCTGGGAAAGGGGATGGGGGAGTGACTGCTTAGTGGGTACAGCATTTCCTTTGGGGATGATGAAATGCTTTCGCTGCATAACATGAATGTATTAAATGCCACTGAATTGTGCACTGTAAGAGGGTTAACTTTATGTTTTGTAAATTTTACCTGAATTTTATTTTTTTTTAAATTTTTTAAGGTATATTTTTGAGAGAGAGAGAGACAGACAGAGTGCAAGTGCAGGAGAGGCATAGAGAGAGACACACACACGCAGAATCTGAAGCGGGCTCCAGGCTCCGAGCTGTCAACACAGAGCCAGACGTGGGGCTTGAACCCATGAGCAGCAAGATCATGACCTGAGCCCAAGTCATTT